GGCATGAAGAGCAGTTCTGCCTACAGATATCAAACTGACTAATTTCAGCTTCAGTTTCTCATATTTTTGATCATAAATATATTAGGTTCATGTTGTTGTATTTTGTAGAAAGAAAGAAAGAAAGAAAGAAAGAAAGAAAGAAAGAAAGAAAGAAAGAAAGAAAGAAAGAAAGAAAGAAAGAAAGAGAAAAGAAAGCTCCCCTCCAATTTCTGAGTTTCATGGGGAAATAATTTTCTGTATCCACAAGCCTCTAATACATGTTTTTATTTTGGCTCATTTTAGTTTTTTAAAATTATTTTATTGCAGTGTTATATTAAGCTGCCCATAATCCAGTAAAATAATAGCAACACTGTGGCAAAAGAAAGCAAAGATAGTAGCAATAGTAATAGGTGGCTTGATTGCAAAGCCAAAACATTTGCAGCATCACCCGAACACCATGGGCATTGACAAAATCAGCACCAGTCAATTGCAAAAGGCAGCTTTCCTTGGAACAGTTTACATCTGGTGTTAATGATACCTTTAACACCATCAAACAATGAGTTCCCTTTAGTAGTTAATTCTCCCCTTTTTTCCTGCAACTGGAAAAAGCCTGGTTAAGCTGCAGAGAGAAGTTGGTTTTCCTTCTCTGGCCAAGAAGGTGGCAAGAAGGGGAGCAATGGGAGAGGGGCAAAGGCTCTTCTGCAACCTCTGGCTTTGCAAGTGAAGACTGATGAATGTCTTGGGAATAAGAAGATAGAATCATAAGGCTGGAATGGACCTTGGAGGTCTTCTAGTCCAACCCCTTGCTCAAGGCAGGAGCCTTATACTAGCCTAGTCAAATAATTGTCCGTCTATTTATGCATTTCATCCAGTTAATTTAACTTAATCCTTTAAGCATGTCGGATGTCTATTTTTCTCTCCTTCAAGCAATGACAAGTGCCTCTGTTTGGTAGCAAGTCAGAAGACTGGTTATGGGAGTGGGAAAAGAGTTGGCAGTAGGGACAGCAAATTTATGCTGGTTTAGTTTTCTAAAATAAAGCATGGATCGATCATACATTCATTTAGAACTGAGGGAAAGGCCCTGTTTCTGTCTCTTGCAGCAAAAGTAACAATTCTTGTGTCCCTATAAAGACTACGGTAAAACCTAGGTTAATTTGGCAGCTCATAATGGGGGCTGTGAAAGTTATACCATAACTTTTCAGCATTTAAATGGCCACAAGATCCCAGACCAGCAGATATTAGTAACAAATAAAAACAGGAATGTCTGTTGCCATCTAATGGTCATCTGGACTTTTGCAGCCCAAATTTGATAGCCCTATATTAATTTAAGGTCATCTTTTTCGCATGTTGGCCCAGGAAGCGTGAACTGTGCATATGCATGGAAGAATTTAGATCAAATGGATTCATGTCCTCCTTTCTTTAATTTATTCACATAAACAAAGCTAGGAAATCAGGAAATATGCAATAAATGAGATGTCAACCTGATTCTAATTAACCATTCAAATTTAGTTACTACATGAATCACTTATGGCAATTAACAATCAACTAAACATGAGAGCAATAGAGAGAACATACCTGAATAAGAATCATTTTCAAATCAGTGCCAAAAGTAAACTTAAAAGGAAATGTTTTTTTAAAGACTTACCCCCCCAAAAAACACCCACCATCATATTTTCTATGATATTGCTCCCAACTGTAACAACACCAAGGATAAGCAAACTTCCATCCTCTAGAGCATGAGTGACAAACTCACTGTGTCACGTGACGTGTTGCGATGTATTGTGACTTTTTTTGCACTGCCTGAGCTGAGGTGGGTGTGTCTTTAATATGATGCCACCGGCCGGCAGGCCAGCAGTTTGACACCCCATTAAGCGATCCTAGGAGTTACACTCCAAAATCTGATGCTCTGCCTTCCTGCTCTTGCAAATGCAATTCTCATATATGTTTACCCAGAGAACATCCCATTCCAAAGGATTAGAGGCACATGGCAGTAGGGCAATCCTAAATTTCTTTATTAATTCTCACAAAGCCCAATGGGACTTTCTCCTAAGGAGGTGACAGGAGCATAGGTAGATCATGAATCCCAGTTTGCACAGAATATTGTGAGCATGCCTCTGGTAAATGTGGTTTGGCAAACAGTGAAGACCATAAAGCAGGGGTGTTCAACCTTGGCAACTTTAAAATTTGTGGACTTCAACGCCCAGAATTCCAAGGTTTCAGTGTTGCCCTGATTGGACACCCCTGCTATAAAGGTATATAAGCAAAGACTGGCACTGTTAATTGCACCGGGAATCTAATATATATGTTCCCCTGCTGAAACCAGACTGAAAGGGTTCAAGTTAATATGTTTCAGGATTCTCTGAAGCTGCAATGTGACTATTTTTTCCACCTTTCCTAAAAAGGGAAGGTTGGAGACAAGGATGAAAATTGTCCAGTCATGTCCAATAGTGATTTCTTTGGGTGGAGAATCAGTGCCTCTTTAAGAGAGGGCAGAACCATCCACTCTTCAAGGATGAATCTACCACCACCAGGACCCAATCACATATGTTTCACTAACCTGGATTAATGCACAGGTGGCAAAGAACATTGTCTGCTTCATCAGGACTAACAGGATCAAACTCATCTCAGATAACCAAGCCAGACTGGGTTTCAGTCAACTACCTGGGACCTCATGACTAAAAGTACAGCTTGAAGTGAATCCAAGCAATTTTAGCTAACAGATGTCTAACATATTCATCTCAGTGGCATTGCAGGTGAAATTTTGGTTCCACCTTTACAAAGAAGAGACGGATATCTTTTAATAGGGCTACTGGATACTACAGGAAGTATAGTACTGGATGATTATCTATGGACATCATAAGAGAAATATTTCCCTTACTGCCTTTCGATAGACCTTAATAGCAGCTCTAGGTTGTCCTTAGTTGGGTTTACTTCTCGTGTCCACCAGTGACAGGCATTTCTTCTCCTACTTCAGTGGTTCTCAACCTATGGGTCGCAACCCCATTTGGGGTCAATCGACCATTTCACGGGGGTCACCAAGCAAGGCTGTCCGCCATTTTTTCCCCTTTTCCGGCGGGTGCCTTATCTCCCTTGGGCTGGGCCAGCTGGTGGCCCAACCGGTGGTCAGCCTGCTCCATCTCTGCCGCTTGCCAGCTACACCTCGGCCGGTGCAGGGGGCGGCACCGTGCATGCACGGTGCTCCCGGGCAGGGAAAGTCCTCGACTTACAACCGGTTGGGTAGTCCTCGACTTATGACCGGTTTAGTCCTCGACTTACGACCGGTTGGGGGTCACGGCATTAAAAAGGTTGTGAACCACTGTCCTATTTCATCTCCTTCAGGTTCCTTGTAAGCCGAAGGAAGCTCCAGTATCCATGAGAGGAGACAGGCAGTCTAGTGCAATCAAGGCCCCAGCCACCCCTTCATTTCAAGTGGTGACTTAGTTGGACTTTGCATCAGGCTTTCAGGGACATCCCAAGCTTTTTCTGGAACTCTTCCTTAGGCATCTTGAAATCAGAAACTGACCTTACTATAACATGGGAATAATGGTGATCTCCTTCAATTCCAGATGCTTCTGCCAATTCCCAAACAAGGAAAACAGAGCAGGTGTGTGACCACTGTCATGTGATGAGTCCTCGATAACCTGGATCAGGACTAAGGTTGACACAGTGGCCATGAAATCCCAAGCTACCTCAGACTCCACCTCCAGAGAAGGCAGATTGAATTACTGTACCTCAAACAATATATCTGAGAAATTCTACTGCCAATCTAGCCATGGAGGCAAGATGCTCGGGGGGGAGGGAGACTGTTCTGCAGTGGGGGAGGGCTTGGTGGTATAACAGCAACAATCTCAACCGGTCCCCAGAGCCCAACCTAAGAAACAGGGTCTCATATCCAATTATCTGTGAGGCAGTGCCTCTGAACACCAGTAGTATATCTCAAATGACAGACTATTTCACCCAAGTTCCTGCCTGAAGCTGCCCCCCAAACCAAGACGTGCACATCTCTGAGAGGGGTATTCCCCACCCTTGACCCTCCAGATCCCATGAATATACCCCACGTCAACTTCCTCATCTATGATTTAACCATAGATGGACCTTAATAAAACAAATTTTATTGTATGAAAGCTAATTGCTAAGCAAATGACAGTGCTCTTTAATTCAGGGTGGATCACATTTTCATATCCTCATGCTGATACTAGGCATAAAGATAAAACCAATTGAATATGGAAATTTCCTCCAAAGTGAAACATCGTTAACAAGGGAAAAAAGTTTCCTTAAACCAACTTCCTTTATGTTGTGATGGATTTACAGATAGAGAAATAGATTCTGTAAGAGTTAGCCAACCTTTTCCAGTGGGAACTGCACTCCAGTTTCAGATTTAAGTTCAGAGAAGTTGAAGGATGTCCTGAATACACACACTGGGTGGTATTTTAGCAAGTATTTGTCTCAGACTGAACTGGTTCAACTACTGTAAATCTTTCCTGACCTTGTCAGCTGGAAAGCTGATAGTCTGAGTTCAAGACCTGAGCACTTCGCAAGGTTACTTGCTTCAGCTCTTGCAAACCTAGCAGTTTGAAAGCATGCAAATGTGAATACATAAATAGGTACCACTTCAATGGGAAGGTAACAGCATTCTATGTGCCTCAGTGTATAGTCATCCTAGCCACATGACCACAAAACTTCTTCGAACAATGCTGGCTCCATCAGCTAGGAAATGGAGATGAGCACCATCCCCTAGAATTAGACACAAGTGGATAGGGGAAAATTTTATTTTTTACCTTATTTTCATCTGTACATTGATAGCATTAGGAATAATTAGCTACAGAGAAAAGGCCTTTGGTTTTATTCTCTGTCCCTCCCTCTCTGTGTGTATCTTTGCAATTTTGTTTGGCTTTTTTATTGCATATATATATATGCATATATATAAAAATGCAGAAATGGCATATGAATTCTTTAAACGAACAAGAAAATGATTCCTAAACTATTCAAGGTATAAAAGGATCACCAGGCATGAGGATTGTAATAATATTTTATTTATATTATCAGCCAATGTTTTCTGTCAAAAAAGCTCTCCATGTGAATTTTTAACGGATATAAAGAAACATAAAACTTCACCTTCTGGGTTATTAACAGCAATGTTATTTAAGAGAAAGTACATGTAGTACACCATTAAATTTCTATATATTACATACCCCACAACTGCTGGCTGATTAATTCCACAATCCAGAGAAGAATTTGAATCACAGTTTTGAAGTGGAAATGCTTACAAGTTAATGGAACTCAGAGAGAGGATATGGTGACTGAGAGGGGCGTGGCCTTCTCCTTCATAAGAGTGAACCTATCTTTGCTTCCTCTCCAGTGCAGTGTCAAGTCTTTTTGGCACAGGGGCTTTTCAGGAATATGAGGCTTGACGGACATCTTGGGGAGGTAAGTAAGCATCACTCTGCAAAGCTTTCCAGGTTACATGTGTGAAGTATAGTTCATGGGGTGGCTCTCTTGACCCGTGGGATCTGAAAATGGCAGAGGGTTAGTAGTTATTTTTAAGAGAGCTAACCATTGTACAAGAGATATTCCTGGCCCAAATGCACATGCACAGACGTGGGGCAGTCACATTTTGGGGAGCTCTGAAACTGCAGTCTCATGATCTTTCATGTCAATCAATACTGAGAACCACATAACATAACTTGCCAGTTACCAGACTCATTTGCAAAGAGTTGTGCAAATGATTCACTCAGGAAGTTATTGTTGCTGTGCTTCCCTTTACTTATTGTAGTGTGATCTATCTATCTATCTATCTATCTATCTATCTATCTATCTATCTATCTATCTATCTATCTATTCATAAAATAAGTTGACTGTCCTCTCCCCCCTTATGTAAACCCCAGAAGTAGCAGTAAGACAAAATATGGAAACTGAGTTTTCTGGATATTGTTTGTGTGCATGTATGTCTATGTGTGTTCATTTGTCCATTTAATTATCATTAACTATGGGCATCCATAGAAGATGCAGGGCATAGAAATGACAAAATATGTTGCAATGTCACAACACAAACTGTACCCCTTTTGCATAACTATCACATCACATACATGCACACTACGGGTGGGGCTTGTGTTGCAATAGCACAACGATATTTTGTGATTCTGACAAGGACCCAGATTCTATAATGCTTCCATTGCCCCCTCCCCAGTGAATATGAAATATGCAATGGGACACAAAAGACTATGTTTGCCTGCCACAAAGCCAATCAAATTATTTCTTCCAGCCTTATGAGTGACAAAGCATTATATGAACATCTTTTCAGCTTCAGCAAAATGGGATAATTGCATCAGTTCAGAACACAATAGAACTCTGTATTACCCCATTGCTGTAATTTGGTCAGAAGAAAGTCAGAATAAGGAAATGAGTCAAAATAGAAGGCAGAGCTGATCTGATGCTTTCTTTGCTCTCTGAGATGGGCAGATGCTCCCAATCTGAGAAGCCAACAGAACAACTTAAACGGTCCCAGGAAGCACAATTACAGACACACTACTGTTTTTCAAAAATACCTGACGGGAATATCTATCAATGCCCAAGCTGACAAAGTAGGAACCAAATCAGACATAACCGTAAACATTGAGCTGATGTCTTTGATTCTCAGGGCAGGGAAAAGTATGTCCCAAAGTCCATAGACTCAAAAGGATGAGAGGAAAAGGGCTAGGTTTTAAACCCTGGCATAAATATAAGATTTGATTTCTATATGCTACCTCAGTGTTTCCCAAACTTGACAATTTTAAGGCATGTGGACTTCAACTCCCAGAATTCCACAGCCAGCGTTGCTGGCTGTGGAATTCTGGGAGTTGAAGTCCTCATGCCTTAAAATTATCAAGTTTGGGAAACACTGTGCTACCTATATGTTGATTCATTTTATTGATGCAGCTAGTGTCCACCTAAATGGACAGTCATGAACTCATTGGGCTTGTTAGCCTATACTCTTTTGAGAAGAGCTGTGGAATTTCTTCCCCAGTATTTCATACTGTAGTCAATAAGGGCAATGACTTCTACAGCCAGCTGGCAACTTTTAGATAAGGAAGGCCTCATTGATGAGACACATTCATGAGTGGGTCCTCTCCATGGATGTGGAAAATCATAATAAATTTTGGTTGGCAGGCCAAGGAAATTAAATCTGATGCAGTAATTATAAACCATTTAGATTAGAAGCAATGCCAATGTTCATACATACACACATAAACATCATTTCCAGTCTCTGTGTAAAACAGATAACCTTTATGAACATTTGGCAATCATGGCAGATCCTATTATTAATCTGAGTTGCACTGGTGGTTACAGTGCAGTACAGTACTGCAGGCTACTTCTGCTGACTGCCGGCTGCCAGCAGTTTGGCAGTTCAATCCTGACCGGCTCAAGGTTGACTCAACCTTCCATCCTTCTGAGGTTGATAAAATGAGGACCCAGATTGTTAAAGGGAAATATGCTGACTCTATAAACCACTTAGAGAGGACTATAAAGCACTGTGAAGTGGTATACAAGTCTAAGTGCTATTGCAGACATGGTTTAAATCCTTGGCCTGGAGTTAAATCCCATGTTTGCTTGTGGTGGACTAAGTGGGCATGGCATTAGATTAGAGTTTAATTTGGAGCACTTTAATTTATCCTTTTTCTTGCAATGGTAAGGCGTGGTTTCTCTGTGTTCTGCATTGTTAATAAGAATGGGTGGTGGATAGCGAAGCCATTCACACAGATTTGATATAATCACTCACTGTTCCAGCGTGAGTCAGTCCTATTTCCTGGTGTCGGTTGCAGATCATCTTCACAGGGAAAGAAACCTTTAAAAATAGCCAGTCTCTCCTCCCTGCTCAGTCTCTGGGGACATAGGACGTAGTTGTATATTATAGCAGCCAAGATAGCCCCTATGAAAGGTCCCATCCAGAAGATCTGCAGAAAGAAGTAAACAAAAAGCAGCTTTGAAGAATACAAAAATGTTGCTTCGTCAGGCCAGGATCCCTTGTATCCCTTGTGTTAGATGTTCCATTGCTAGACAAACCACCAAGAAGCAAATCTGACCCAAATAGTTTGACACCTGAGAAGAACCAGTAATTTCCACCTAACTGCCAAGGTTCCATCTCCTCTCTGCATACTTCATGGCAAAGTATGTTCTGAAGACAACTGCTACAGTTCTTCCTCTGGTTTTCATATTCTACTTCTAGAACAGATTTTATGCTTAGCCAATACTTGATGCTCTCTGAGCTTGGATGTTTGGGGTTTTTTTGCCAACGTTTTATTACCAACCTAGATAACATCATCAATGTTAGTAAGAAGTGGGATCTGCCCTCTCCATGTTGATAGGAGTGGTCTTAGTGGTTCCTTGATAATATATTTGCTTCTCTGAATCTACCATTTAAAACATGAAGACTTGTAAATACGATACACTTGAAAGGCTGACATCTTCAGAGCAAAATTTAAATTGTAGAACTAGATTAAGAGTCACTGTGTAGCACAGGGTTTTACTTTTTTTCTTTTTATGCCTTCGGGTTAGTCTTGACTCTTTGCCACTACTTGGACAAATCCCTGCAATTTTCTTGGCAACCTTTTTGGAAACGGTTTGCCATTGACTCCTTCCTCTAAAGGGAGAGAGAGAGAGAGAGAGAGAGGGAGGGAGGGAGGGAGGGAGAGAGAGAGAGAGAGAGAGAGAGAGAGAGAGAGAGTGACTAGCCCAACATTGCTTAACCGTCTTTGTGTCTAAGGTAGGATTTGAACTCACAGTCTCCTGGTTTCTAGCTTGATAGCGTAACCACTACACTGCATTGGCTCTCAGCATACCATTAGAGGTGATATTCTTGAAGCAAAGGGAGACAGGGCACTACAATAGCTCCTAAGGGCCACTGAGGATCAGCATCGTTTGCTTGAAGGCCTCTCTAAAAGTGAAGAACTGCAAGAGGACAAAGCGGAATGAAACTGCCCATCTTCAGTGAGCACCAGGCTAATAGAATATGCACACAGGTGACTTGGACAGTTTCCCCCACCATCGTGGGTGCGTAGAATATCTGCTGAAATAATTATTTCTAAATATTAGTTTGTGAATACTATTATGCATAATGGTGTCTTGGGTGTCCTCTGCACCGATTATATATTTGCTTATTTTTTTTGATGACAGCTCCCCTTTCCTATGACTCAATTTCAGAGCAAAATCTAGATTGCCCAGGATGACTATTTCTCACAAATTGATTAGGTCCCTTTTAAGCCTTTGGTGCTAGTAAGTGATGAAAATCTGTTTTTAAGTGATGGAATTCTCTTTCAGAGAGCTTGAAATAAAACTGTGATAGTCTTAGATTGGCAATTAGTTATTAAACATGTATGCTGCTGACTTTCAACAATTTTGGGCCCTCTAAGGCTTTTCCCTGCTTTGTCTTCATTATTGATTAAATCCTGCCACTGTTTTCAAAATCTTCAAATATAAACCAGGGTTAAGACTCTTGACAAATTGAGTAACTAATGGATGGAGCTAGAAGAAGTTTTATCAGTGAAGGAAGTTTGGTGTGCAGGCAGTTTAGGCTAACAATTGAAGGTCTGAGTCCACAAGGATAATCTTACCCAATGAAAAGGACCAAATTTTCCCAGTATGACAGCAGGGGCAAAGGATCTTGCTGGATTTATGGAGCAGCCAGTATAATAAATCTGTTAAAGGAAGAAAAGGCATTAGTTTAGATTGGTGATGGTCTTCTGTCAGGAAACTAAAGTAATGTTTCCCAATCTGGGCAACTTCAAGACACTTCAACTTCAGTTCCCAGAATTCATCAGCTTGCTTAACCATTGCTAAGAATTCTGAAAGCTGAAATCCACATATCTCAAAGTTGCTCAACTTAAGAAACATTGACTTCAAATATTCTATTCATGGAGGCTTTTACTTTGTCTTTCTCCTGTCCTGCATAATTTATTATTCCGTTCTTTGTGGAGATTCTTTGCCTCACTTAGATAAACTTCACTATCAGGATATTTCCCATTTCTTATTGCCCATTGCAACAAAATTTGCATATAAGCTATCTACAGACATTTCCTTCAGTTTTCTCCTGTGGATATAAATTTGGAATGATCTTGGTATTTGGCACCCAGCAGTACTTCCTTTCAGTACAACAGTGGAATCTGTGTTGATCCCTATCAGAAATAGGGAATAGCTCTCTGTATGGAAGGATCTTATATATGGGAACAGAGGATTATTTGCCAAATCCAGTTTAAAGATAATACACTATGAGATTGAAGTTATTTATCTATATGAGAATCTAGACAGCAGAGTGGGCAGATACTATGAGACATCTGGTCATAATCACCCACATTATGTGAGTGGTTTTGAAATTCTATTGAAAATATCAAAAGTATTTCTAAATTTCCATGTATACATATGAATTAGATCATGCCCTCACTTGGCCTGCTTGTTAATGCTTTCCTTAATATTGCATTCATTACAATGTCACACATTTGTAAATATAATACAAAAGACAGAAATAAAATTATCATTCCAGCATAGGTGTTTATTGGGTTAGATACACACTCCAGCTTATGGTTTTCTCAAGAAATTGGTGGAAATTGAGGGGAAAAGACTGCCCTGCAAATAAATCCAAATACAATTAACTACTGTTTGCAGAGTTTCATCTCTGCACTTTAATAACAACATTAAGACAGACCTATTCTGCATAGGGCTTCTGAATCAAGGGTGTTGGTTACATTGATTTCTGAACTGAATTGTTTTGATACTAATTAAGGATGTCAGAAACACTCTGTGAGAAATTTCATTAGCTGTGTCAAGATATCTGTGGCTTCTCAAATTTGCTCAGTATTTAGTTTTTACAAGTTTTTCTGTCACCAGAATCTGAACTGATCTAGAGTCTCTCAAAAGCATATGGCCTTCTACTTGGCCTCCTCAAAGTGAAGCATTGCTTAAAAAACAAGCAAATCAACTTTTCAATGTGACATTGAAATGTCACATGATAAAACCAAAATCAAACAAGTCAACACGAAGAGTAATCCCTCCCCCCTAGTCTCACAAAATCTTACCTAGCTCCTGCCCCTTTTCCTTCATCTTTTTTAATAGGGAGATGTATTCTGCTGTGTTTCCTACAAGCAAATCTTTCTGCTTAATAATTAGAAAAGAATAAAATGAAGGGACTTACCCCGATAAGGTGAGCCATAGAGACAGCCAGGCCGATAGACAATGCTGCATTGTTTCTGTCTCTCCTGCGTTTATCAGTTACAGAGAAGATGCACATAACCATACAAAAGGTTAGTATGATTTCAATTAGAAAGGCTTCACTTGCAAAAACATCTTTGGAGACCTGCCAAAGTGTAAGAAAGGAGAGTTAAGGGAAAAAAAACCCACAGGCAAAACAAAAACAACCTTTTTACTGTGTCCTTGTAAATTTCCCATCAACACAACCTTGATGTTGTCTTCCCAAAGATATGCTACTAGGATGTAAACTCCATTGAAATAGAGGAGGACTAGCCAATTCTCTTCCCCCTGCTTTGGCTGCAGGTTTTGCTATGTATGTGGAATTCTTCAGTAATTGTTGTAGAAGTAGCACATTTTTTTTTCAGATGAAAACACTTCCCCAACTGTGAGTGGCAGGCTACTGACTCAATCGTAGAAGGACATGGAGGGCCGTCCCTGAGGGCACCTCAGCAGTGGCAGACTCTCTTCCTTGCCACTGCATGGCCATCTCTATCTATAGACTCCCAAAGGCTTCTTTAAAATTCACAATGCCGCTCTTCCCTTCTGTTGTCCTGCAAGGTGATCTCAACTTCTAACCCTCACAAGTGCCATACGCTGGTTTTACATATAAAGGTTCTATATAACAATTAGGCATAATAATTTATGATTACCTTTCTTTTTTTTATAAGGAACACATCTCACGGCCTAAATACACGTCAACTCTAAATGCTCTCAACAAGACCAGATTGATGCTTCTGTTGTGCAAAAATGCTTCAGAAAGGAATTTTGGAAAATTGGATCCTGCTAGACCAGTGGTTCTCAATCTTTTTAATGCCGCGACCCCCCCCCAACCGGTCGTAAGTCGAGGACTACTCAACTGGTGCAGCACCGTTTGCAGAATGGGACTTTTGGCGGGCTCAGCAGGGCAGAGACAGCCTGGACAATTCCTATTGGCTTTTGAAAGCCAATAGAATTAGACTCTATTCAAGAGAGTCTATTCTATTAGCTTTCAAAAGCCAATAGAATAAAAGGGAGTAGCACAGCTAAGGAAAAGGGGGAAAAATGGCAGACTGCGTTGTTTGGCAACCCCCGTGAAATGGTCATTCGACCCCAAATGGGGTCCCGACCCACAGGTTGAGAACCACTGTGCTAGACATCGCAACCTCTTACCCTTTGGCTAATTCCTTAGCAGAGCACCCAGATAACTATACCATAGGATCTTTTGGCAAAGTTGGGGGGGGGGCTCTTAAAGAATTGCCTGTTTGGTTTATGCTCATTCACTGACCCAATGCAATAAGTTGGGAATCATGCACACAAGCTTCTTTCAGATGAATTGGCAAATAAAGACTTACATTATTGGCAAATAGTGTTGAGCGGATGTCTCCAGGTGTCACCGAATAGATGATTCCGGTACCAGCAAGGGCTCCCAATACCTGTAGGATCATATAAAATACGAAGCGAACGATGGAGATCTGGTTCCCCACAAAGTAGGCAAGGGTGACAGCTGGGTTGATATGCGCACCGCTGATAGGACCAAATATTTGGACCACGGTTGCGACGGTTAGTCCAAAAGCCAAAGAAATCTGGAGAACGTTAGGCTCTTCCGAAGGCCACTTGAAGGATGCGCCCATGACAATGCAGAGAAAGATTGCAGTTCCTACAAATTCACTTAGAATAGCCCAGGCAAATTTGGGGCTGAGAATCTCTGCTCGTCTTTCAGTAGTAGTAGCCATGGCTGGTGCAGTAGACACCGAGTGGGTGTTAACATGGAATTTGTAGGCACCACAAACAAGGAGTAAATTTGCTGGGCCATGCTGCATGCATTTATAGAGAGAAAGGGATGGGTTTAACCAAGTATAGGTGGGGCCAAAGAGAAACCTGTCAGTCATCTAGAGGGTAATTTTGGAATCAGGACTACTGTATTTCGAGGTTAAAACATCCCAAACAATTTCCATAGCTAATGAGAGCTCCAAAGATTGGGGGAAGAGGAGACATTCTTCTCAAAGCATTATCTTGTCTTTGAGAAGCCTTTTAGAATTATTTCAGAGCATTCATAACATCATAGAATTATAGGGCTGGAAGGGACTTTGGAGGTTTTGAAGCAAGTAAGAAGTTCATTGTCTTTCTTTGCATTCTCATTCTCTGAAAAGTGGGAGTTCCCATATTTTATTTGGTAACATGCAAGTAAATGCAACTGTATGCATTGAGATGGGGTGTACAAAGCTTTGTCTGCTATAGGACCAAGTTCTCATGTGTCCTTATCAATGGGGTGATCTTGGAGAGTCCTCCCATAGGTCCATGTGACATCTCCAGTTCATTTTGGTTTCTTCCTGACATAGTTCAGGCTGTAGTAGAGAAAGCCCCTTGAGCATTAAGCTGAAGACCCTCATGATTACAGTTGAAGAGAGGGTTCAAAACATCCTTGTTTACTCAGGCCTTCTAATTGAATCCATCGTTTTCATAAGTGTAGTTGTTTTAGCCCCTTAATTATATGCTTTAAAATGCATCATGTAATTGCGTTGATTGTTTGTTTACATTGTATTTCAGTGTTTTTTATTCACTTTCTGAAAAGTGTGCTGAGACATTAAGGAAGTGAGCCGTTTGTTTAAACAAACAAATACAATGTTATACACAATTTGTAACTCAATGAAGCTATGAGCTATGCCATGCAGGGCCACCTAAGACTGACAGGTCATAGCAGAGAGTTCTGACAAAATGTGATCCACTGGAGAAGGAAATGGCAAACCACTCCAGTATCTTTGCCATACATTCACCAGCAGAAATTTGGGGATGAAAAGAAGAAGTTTTTTTGGGTAGGGATTATTGTCAGACTAGGTTTTTCTACTCAGCGTATGTTTCCTCTCTTTTCTGCTGATCTGAAGTTATCTTGCCTTCCACTGCTTTGGGCTATGTTGCGTTCTAGAGTCACAGATGCCATCAGATTAATACTGATTATTATGCTAATTGCAATCATATTTCCATATGGGATGATGTCACAAAACCTATTCAGATTGTGGCCAGATTCTTTACTGGTTTCTAAGAATGAGCTATGTGTCTTTCATTTACATAGTCTTCATTATTCAAACAGCATGTATGGGGCAGAAATGTTTTTGAAACCTACTTGCATTTCTAAAATCCTATTTAAAGATTTTTGTTGTTCACAGACTTGAGGCACTGAATAGATCAAACGGACCATTTAATACATTTCCTACCGAGTTGTACATAAGGTGAAAAATTCATTTTATCTTCTGGCCACCTGAAAGGAGGGACCTGAATAATGGAAAGATAAATAATGAAAAGGAATGGTATGGCAATGGAACGGTGGCAATTACAACAACAAATATTGTTTTTATTAGTTGTATTCATTTATAACATAAAATGTGAAAATACAAAAGCAAATAGTAGGGGACAACAGTAGAAAAGGGGAAAACAAAAAAGGTGTCAAGAAAGGGAGGGAAAGAAACAAAAGGCATTGACTTCTGACTCTCTCTGTAGCAGGAAAATCAGACATTAAAATCAAATCTCAATTGCTTACATTTCTATAGTAGTAGTATGGACTAACCTTTTCTGTATCGGCAAATCAATCTAATCGGTAAAACTCAGAATCATAATATCATTTTTTTTCCACCTCAAGCACAAAGTTCAGAAGCAGTTTCCAGGCAGAAACAAAAGTACTTATGTTCTTTTCTTTTATAAAACAGTGGCAATTACAACAACAAATATGATGATTTCAGATGTCTGAGATGACAAAAAGTATGAAGACTAGAATGTGTATTGGAGGATTTGGGGTGTCTAACTCCTGCAGCTACAGAAAACATTTCAGGTCCATGTTGTAGAGTTCTTTAAAAAAAAAAAACAAATAAAAATAAAAACTGAAATTAGAGCCAGAGTTTTTCTTGAAGCAGTTGCAGAGCAAAAGCTGAAATTCCTTCTCGGGTGAAATAATTTGCTATCCATGTTCCTATCTAAACTCACTGAAATGAATTATTCAGCCAGATTGTTCTCAGAAATGTTGTCACCTAGGATCAGCTGCTACCTCAGATCTCACTGGGGGCTTAAAATCAAGCCAGAAGGTAGTATAGCTCAGCTACCACATCTGCTATTACCAGTGGTCTTCCCAGTCTGTTGGTGCCTCTGAATCAGAGGTAACTTCTGGCTTTGACAAGTCCCTGATGTTTTCTTGGCATGATTTTGGAAATGGTTTGCTGGTCTATGTCATTTCAGAATATATTCACCTATATCTCTTTTCCTTTCTTTTTTAAAATACTTGTTATTGCTGGGTTGCTCAGAACTTTGTGACTGAGTGGTTGATCAATGTAACAAGTGAGTGAATGAATGCAATATCTCTCTTTCCCCATCCCCTTGCCCCCATCTTTACATTTCTAAACATATTTATTCCAAAGTATTTCATTCATTCATTCATTCATTCATTCATTCATTCAATCATTCAATTTCTAGAGCTGCCTAGCTCAGTCCAGTTACAATGGCACCTTGGTACTCAACTGCTTTGAAACTTGTCGAATTTAGTACTCAATGCATTTGACGTGAAAATTTTGTCCTGGTACTTGTTTGGTACTCGACCGCAAGCTAGAACTTGTGTCAGTTGCTTATCATATTCCTTATGGGAAAAATTTGTTTGGTATTCCTCATTTTTGGAATTTGTTGTGCCTTCCAGAAGCAATTAATGATGAGTACCGAGATACCACTGTAACTCTTTTTATTTTGATATCTTTCTGAGCTGAAATCTGCATTTGATCCTTCAACCAATGTGGGGAAAAAAAAGCAGAGAGCGATGTTCTAATCCATATATTAATTCAGAGTGTGTAGTTCAGGTAGATCAGACTTTGCCTTCATCAGATTGCCCATCAACCAAAAATGCATCTATCATCCAAATGGATGCAGATTTGCCTATTTCAGGGTTTTTCAAACTTTGTTCTGGAGAATCCTAGTGTTCTGCAAGAACTTGGTGAGGCTCTGTAAAAAACTAAGGGAGGGAAAATCGTTTATGCAAATATGGCCATTTTATATCACTAGAGCTTTGCCTTTTGATTAGGGATTCCATGGGTTTTTTTTTTTCAACTTGTTTGTGGCCTGAATAAGTTTTAAAACCCTTGCCCAAGAACATAAAACCAGTCCCTTTCTTAGCCATTTGATTTGTTTTATTTAGAAAACCTTTACTTCACCTCACTCCAGTCACACTCAGTTTAATTAGATTAATTCATTAAAAGCAACCAGGTAACTCCCCCAACCCTCCCCCCTCAAATCTATGGCAAAAAGACAGAACAAGATCATGACTAATCATGAGAGATATATTGAACCATACACAGAAAGGAAATCCTTGACATTTTATGTTACACTGATGTGATATGATATGATTAGACGAAATGTAAGAATGCCCACGAATCACGAAGATTTCCCCTTTCTCCTGATAGCAAACTGACATAGCTGTTAGGAGAAGCCATTCAGATTGTCATATACAATGCACTGGGCAGAATAAATAACTTTTGAGGAACAAGAGGAAGTGTGGCAATCAAGTGAAGAGTCAGATAAAAGAAATCTGAGTTCAGGGCAGAAATGTAATCTGAAGAAGCATCTCAGACATGGCTGTCCCTAGTTCTCATGAAGATAAAGGGAGGGAGAGGGAGGGAGCACATTTAGACTTACAAGATTGTGTTACTATAACCTTGTCATTAAAAGTAGTATTAACTTGTGTGTCTTTGGTTTCTAAATTTGATCTATATTGGAGGGCTGATACCCAATCTTGAATTAGGATAAATCATAGACAGCAATTGCTGCTTCAAGCATTGATATGATTGTGTTGACTCATATATGACATTGATTGGGTGGCAGCCTTTGGAATCGCTTAATACATGCCCACACTACAAACATATTTAGAGATTAATAAGATATGGGTGACAAATCCCTAATGTACAAGACTAGGAACCTCATCTCTGGATTGTTATTGCTTTTTCTGCTCCTGCCTCAGATGGGAAATATTTGCTTCCTAAGCTGCAGATGAGTCTCTCTGTATTTATTTGGCCCTCCCATCCTGGGCAGAAGAGACATTCCAGGATGTCCCTTCACTCCTGCCATTTTTCCTCTACCAATGGTAGGAATGGCCTTTCCTGGACTCTACCCATTGCATTACTGTGGCGTTGTCTGGAAAACAATGATGAATATGCAACTGAGTATTCTTAAAAGGTTTATACATATTGAATTTTTCATGCAGATATCTAGAAAACAGGCTTCCTCACAAATAGGTCATCTATGTAGTGTGAGGAAAAATTAGGGAGGGGCAAACTAATCCCAATTCAATTTGAATTGTCAATAGAATTTTGATTGTTGAATCAACTTCCTCCACCAGCTCCCTTGAGTGATTTTGGCTTTGTTTTCAATCTTTTCATTATTATTTTTCCCCATAAGTTAATGGGACAGAATTTATTTTTGTTGGAACTATTGCCTTCATCCATTTCATCAATGGACATCATCAAGTCTAATTTTCTGCATCTTTTCATCCCATCCTGTTTACGCATCATTAGCACAGCCAGCCACTTAGTGAGTTTGCTTAATGATCTACCTGATATTACAATGACTGAGTGAAGCTGGTGTGCATATGAAGAAATGTTCTACTAGATTAGACCAAAGGAGACTATCAATAATTATTTAAGCAGATCAATGGATACAGTTGGAGGCAAAAATTTAGTTCAGAATAGTATGCTTTGATGAATTCTTC